GTACGAAGAATTTCCAGAGACTCTTCCCGTCGTGCAAAAGTAACGAAAGAACTGTTGCAGTGTGCACGAGCACGAGATCAGGCATGCGCGCGTACGGTTGGCTTTACGTCGCGATTAGAGCTCGCCTCTTCTAACCAGAGATGGACATTCTGTTTCCTAGATAAACATTTCAAGTAACGGATAAAGGATAAACGGAGAATTGTTTATACATCATTCGTTAAATGAAACGTAGACAACAATTTAGATTTACTCGTTATCTATTACGTGAATAAATTATTGACCATCTCTACTCCTCGCCACACGATCGAACAGCACAAACGATTTAACCCCTTTCGTCCGACACCCTGACTTATGGGTTACGATCGTTACACGTACTTTTGTCACGTTTCTAGCAACAAAAAAAACACGCAAACGGCTACAATGGGTAGTTCCTTTCTTTATTTCTTTTCCCTTAGGATACGAGAATTGCCCACCCGGTTGTTAGAGCAAAGATGAACGCCGTTTCGACGTCTACCCGAAGGAAATGCTTCGAACGCGTTTTTTGCTCGGATCTCGAAGCAGTCGACTAGACTAGCCTTCGAATGGTCGCGAACGACAATCACCTTTGCCCGTGTTACCACCGGATCTCGTATCCTCTTTATCTCTAACGACTACGTTTATAGGAATCCTCTACGTACTGTAAATAACGTGGCGCAACGCCGGTTCTAGTTTTCGCTGCTTTTGTACACGACTAGTGGCCGACAAAAACAATAGCGAGGTGGGAAAACCCGCGAACGAGACCATGGTGCGACTCGATATTTCGCCAAGAAAACGGGACAAAGCGGACACAAAGTGTGTTACGAGAGAGCGTTCAACCGAAGCTTCTTTTTAATCAAATCAAATGTATCCAGGCTGCGTGCTATCTCTTTTCTGTGGTAGAGCCAGAGTTGGGCAGCAAATCAGTAATCGTAAATTACGAAACCATCCTAACTTTGGTATGTCATTAGTAAGAATTCAGAGCTAATCGTGACTGCTGATTATTCGTTAAATCACGGTTATCGATTACTCGGGAATCGTGATAGTGAATTAAATTTTGCCCAACACTGGGTAGAACTGGACACCAAGTGGATTCGTTGACACGTTCCATGCCGTGCGGTATCATCGATATTGCGCTTTGATCGACTCGTTCAACGCGTGTTTGTTCTTACGTAACGAAGCACCGAGAGATACAAGGATGATAAAGTACACGAATGCCGTATGTAAAGCTGAATGAATTTTATTTTAGAACAATTATCCCCAATGGTGATGTACCGTAAAGAAGCACTTATGGCAGAGGTGAGGTTTACCGTCACAATCATCGCAAAACGTCGCTACTTTCCGGGTATAATTTGCCGCTATCCTGGCACCGAACTTTTTCACATTCTTGTAGTAACATTTCTCGCAACGACGTCTTACTTTCGACACTTTCCCCTCTTTCTTTCTGAATTGGTGGCGCAAGCCTCTGCCCTTCGTATCTGCGAGAGATAAATAGCGAGTCTCGTGATCTCTGTTGTCTCTATACAGTTAAATGTGTACACGGTGCACGTTAAAAAGCTTTCCTCGAATGACCAACGACTCTCCCAAAAATCCACCTTAATCGACAACCCACGCGGCACGGAACGTGTTCAAAGACAACGGAATGTGCAAATTTGCATTTGCTCGGACGCACCTTTTCGTAATCTCAATGAAACCGCTCGAAAAATCGATTCAAGGTAACAAGTCTCTGACGGTGAAAACAACGACCGTCCCCATCAATGCGAGCGCTTCCCAAAAATTCTATTCCATACGACAATATCTTACAAAATCGTTTGTTCGAGACACTCCTTACGTCCGTGACGTACCAACAAAGATCTATTATTGTTGAACATAAATGTAGCAAGACTAGCATTGACGGAGAGGTCGCTCCTCTCTCTCCGATATTACCTTGTATCCCGCGTTGGATCACCTTTTTTCTCTTTCGGGCGACCATTTACCCTAAACATCTCTTTAAAAAAAAAAAAAAAATATAGACCGCCCATGTAAAAGCGCCCTTCTCTGAAAATCCTATCGTATCACCATACAAATTTCTAAGGTTTCCTTAGGCGCCTCTCCCCTTCCCGTGCAATTCTAAAAGAGCTTCGCGTGTTGCGCAAAAAGCATCGAACGAACTCTACCTTTTTCTATCAGTTTTAAACACCAGCCCGTCTCGCATCTGCCAACGACAGCTGCGCATCTGATAGCAGATGCACCGTGCCGAGGAAGCGACAGCTGCACGGTCCTTTACACTTTCTCCTCGCCCCGTTCGCGCGTTCCGGAATTAACGAACAAGCCTCATCGCGTTCACGATGCTGTTTGATAAATTTATTCTACTGTTCTCGCGAAATATCCAACTTTAAAACGGGTCAGAAGTAAAGAATCGCTCCATTTTAGCGCGCATTCGGTGCTCGCAAGTCCGCGTAACTGGAGCATCCGAGTTTCAAGTAAATCGCCGCGATTTATCGTTACGTAATCGGTCCTATTGATCGGTCGATAGGGTTCAACGGGCCTCGACGCGAAGAATCGCGAATCTAGGTCGTCGGCTTCGAAATCGTCGCGCCTAAAACGCTCAAGATAACGTCCATTCATCTCAGCTACATAATTTCTCTGACCTATCGCTACGGAATACAATTTATCCTCGCGTAAGCGATCAACGACTCTTAGGGAGCTTCGATAAATCGTTGGACGTATGGTTTCCCCGTGACGATATCGCGGTCATCGATACCATAGTTAGCATAGTTTATTCGGCTACGACTCTCAGGTATTTCTATCATCGTAATTATACTACCGTCGGGGTCCTATCGAGCTCAAGGCCGACAAGTTTCCGTGAGAACCCACGAGGCGACCGAATCGTTCGCTTGCCTTCTCCGCGAACCAACTTGTACGAAATACGGAGCCTCGTTCACAAACACGTCGTCCATCAACTTTCTACTTTGAAATTTCGAATCGTATTTTCATTTTTCCATTCATTCCGAACGGAGTAAATTTCCCTTAACTATAGTCCTAACTATAGAGAACGCGATTCTCGTTAAATTCGATGGAGGGGTAGGGAATATAATCGCGGCTATATTCCGTTACGATCCAATTTCTAGAAAGAAGGAAGGAAAAACTAGGACAGCAGCTCTCGCGACTACGCGCCGTTATATCCTTCTCAAGCTCTCGCGTTACTTCGACTTAAGTTTCTCATAGCAACAGCGCGACTCGTCGCGATATACACGCTCGAGTTCCTAAGCTTCCTAAACGTATCGCTTTGTTAATCTTATGTACCGCAATAAATTCGCACTTATTACACAATTAACCCTTTGCACTTATTTCGTATATCGTACCATGGGAGAATAAAATTGGATCGTATATGTAATCCGTGATGCGACTTTATTCGACACAATCCTTGGACGAGCCTCCTCGATCGGAGAAAGAATAACGTTACATAGATACTGGCCCCGTTAGGCGAGAAGAATTCTGTTACCGAATTCTGTTACTGAATTCTGTCGCGTGAGTAATACGTATCCTTATGTTTACCGTAGGCCTCTACAGACCTCGCACGATATCCGAGGAAATCTTTCGTCCCCAGAACCGGGAATTTTTCGGAAACGATGCTGCTTCGTGTTCATCGAGGATCTTTGAAGTAGATCCGTGTGAGAAACCCGTCTCCTAGTACCTAATATCGAAGCGTGGTTTTTCACGACGCAGTGCAAAGGGTTAGTTATCGTCTAACTTCTTTTCCGTGGTGAGATGAAAATAAAATCTTATACCGAAAGGAGAGGACACCCTTAAGAAACCTGTCTAGCAACGAAAGTATCGATAATCGTGTACGTCACGCCCCGAAAACGAAACATTACGTGTGAATATCGTTTCAGATCTTGAACGTCGCCATCAATCGCTGGCATATGAAAAATTATGCGAAATTTCTACGACACCAAACCGTGTTACGATAGCAATGATTCTTGCAAGCTCACTTTCAGGTCTCTCGATCGAGACACGTACAGATTTCTACTCTGAATATTCTGCAGCTTTCGCTCTCCCTTTTTCCTCTCACTCTCTCTCTCTCCATCTGTAGTCTCAAAATTATTTCTGCGCGTATTCGACTAGATCAACGTGAGAAATCACGATACATTCGGGGGGGACAGAGACTACTACTAATTACTACTACTACTGCTGCTGCTAAGAATTTCCCTCATTACGCGCATACGATAATACAAAAGATGCGAGAGCGTGTCTCGTATTTCCTTTGGTCGGTGGTCGCGGCGAAGCTGCGAGGTCCGCACGGTTGACTTTTTCCTTGCAGAGGAGAGAGAGGTCGCAATATCGCGTCGCGAGGCCAACGATAAAGACGAGCCACGAAATAAAAAGAGAAGAAAAGCGTGCGCGCATATGCGACTTCCATTATCTTGGAATACTACACCGAGCGATATGAAGATACCGAAGGACGACGAACAATAAGAAATAAACATATACATAAAAGAAAAAAAAAAAAGAAATCGTGGCATGTCTCTCTCGTAAACCTCGCAGCATGGTATCGCGATAAAAATAAAGAGGAAGACAAAGATAAGAAGGAACTTAGAAATTAACGAAAAAGCTACATGCCCTGTTTAAAAAGTGAAAAGCTCTTTCAGAGACCGTGCTACTCTTGAATGTACCGGCATCTAGGTTGAACCACGTTATTCGACAGTGAAAGAAAAAAAAGAGCTCTGTCACGCCTGCGCAATTGGCACTTCTCGCTACGGCGTTATTACGTATTACTTCATTTCCCGTTTTAATAGCGAACATTCTAAGAATGTGTTGCAGTTCTAACGAGCCATCTTTCGTTCCATCGTACGTCCGACAATTTTCAAAAATATTCTCCTTGAGATTAACACATTCGAAGAGCGTTCGTGTTCCTGTCGGATACCAGTCTAGTATGTGCCAATATCGAGTGCCTATTGTTACGGCGGGCAGGAGCTGATGAAAAATGGTGTGGGTGAGCCTACCTTGAGAATCGCGATGGGCCTGGGCGGCCTCCTGGGCTGCAAGAAAGACTTCGTCTGTCGTTCCTGGAGCTCCTGCCACCGAGCCCACAACTCCTCCCGCGTTACTCCGATCGCCGGTAACGTGCCACGCACCTATACCTGCTAACGAAACAAGCAAACAACCATACTCGTAACAAAGACACCAGACAAACGAACGAGAAAGAAATTAAATAGAAAGCGAATAATGAAAATTAGTAGTCGATCAGAGAGTTTGGAATGAGGGATTCTTTATTCACAAGTTCATCCTCATTTAAACGAGAACAAAAATACCATACGGATTCTTGGACGATCCGAAATAGTGAAATACAGGGTGTAATCGCGATCAAAAATTGTACACATTTCTTTTACAGGAAAGGTGAACCTGATAGTATTATACGTATATATACGATATATCATAAGGTACAGTCCGTCGTTCATATCCCCGGTATCCGCTATTCCTTGCGAGAATAATATTTGGCAATATAACACGAAACCTTATATACCTATGAAACACGCGATCCGTTGTCGTCGTACATACGTATACACGCATACAAACATACGTCGAACACTTTATACGCCTCGAATACTTTCGCCTAATAAATCCTACCGCAACACTTAGAACAAAGAGATAATACTGATAGTTTTTAAGCTATTTCACAGTCGGATACTTTGTACACCACTGATCGTATATGCTGATTCGCACTTGAATTCAACCCTTCCGCAGTTGTATGATATAGTGTGAAAGGGTTAATGCAAACGCAAACGGCTCATTCGAAACACAGGTCGTACAACTAGAAAATTCATTACTGCGTCGTACAGTGACTGCATGTATATATAGACTCGTATGTACGCATAACAATAACTAACCCGAAATATATATTTGTAGAGCGATAAAAATTCCTCGTCGGATTGGAATAGATCGATATATCGATTCGGTGCTAATTCAAAAAATGAATTCTAAACCCTGTATTTTTCGGAGCACACGATATAACAAATTACCCATAAAAACAAATAATCAACAATTTGTCTTCTTGTTTAAGAGGAATAAAAACATCGACATTATCATCGCGCAACTTATGGTTACGTGATAAGAATGCTTCGTACCGGCGCTGTATACTAATTCTCAAAAATTGGCACAATACACGCATATACAGTGAATCGCTCAAGTATTCGTTCTCTCTCAACTGCTGACGTTTAACTGACAGATACTTTCAGAATAAAATTACATGGAATCCTGACCGAGAAATATGTACACTGTATTTGTTAAGCTTCTCGTAAAAATACCAATTCAATACAACAAATGGCTAGCTACTTAAAATATTTGAATAAGTATAAAGCAAAAAAGTATAGCAGAATAGGGAAGCTTCTTATCGATTGGACTCCACTTGTAATCCTGTCTATTTTATCTGCAGCGCTCGTTGAGCTATTATAATGTATTATATATTTAGATTCTCAAACAATGTTACATGTTTTAGCAGAATTGTTTGTTAAAAGCAATCATGTACTTCTTGGTTAAAATAGTGTATTTTTGTATCGTCAAAGATCCTATAATATTTATTCTAAAAGGATGTCAACAGTTTGGGGTGTACGAATACTTCCGACTCGCTATGGATTCTATTGATCGTTATCAGCTATTATGTGAAAAGTAAATATTCCGTGAAAGAAGGAAGCAAACGTAAGTACAACGCCGCGTGGAATTACAAACAGATCGGAGCAGCTGAACAAGCCGTTTCATCGATTAGTGGCATTTCTCGCTGCCAAATCTCAACACTGAACATTGTTACACAAACTACTTTTTGTAAGGCATACACACTAAGACTGCCTAGGCTGGATCAGGTTACTAGGTTGTTGCCTCCATCTCCTTCGGACGACGTTCAATTTTTTCAAATAGAACTGCAGGGTCGATCGATTAATGCCATACATCTCTGATGCCTGAGTGGTGCTAACCCCCTGCTGCAATATTGCCTCCAGGGACATTTTAACGGAGTCTAAGCTATACTTTCTGCCCTGTTTGTTTGCCAGCGAATTAAGCAACGCGCCTACGTCAACGTCTGGGCGTGGCCGCCTCGTGTTCGGACCTTTTTTACATTCGAGGAAATGGGACGCCCAGACGGCACCACCACCACCACCACCCAAATTCCCTCTCGACCGAGACCGCGCTCCCGCCCCCCCACCTGCAACGAGGAAACCCAAGCTAGTGTCGGCCAATCATTGCACGGCCCGGTTTATACTTAAAACAAATAAACGAAACGATCGCGAGGAATAAGCTAGAGTTCACCAATTAACGAGTCCCTTTCATCCTGTTATCAAAGTATTTTCAAAAATTCGAACCTACAAGAAGAACGATCTCCTCGTTATCGGTAACATGCCAGGGTAGAAAGCTCTGCTTCGATCCAAAGTTTCTTCTGGATGGAAGTATTGCCACTATCGTTTCGTATCCATCATACAATTCGTTTAGATATCACATATAGTTCACACGGTATATTAAAAATTAATTTCGGGAGAAATCTGAGCAACATGAATTTGAGGTGTATGCGAAATTTGAAATCAATTCGCATCGTGTAACTTCGCGAATATACCCTGTATTTCTCTACATTACTAGCCAAACGGAACCATCGTTTAAATAAAAATGTGTATGTTTATGCAAACTTACCAGGATGTTGGGAGGGGTCGTGGGACGGTCCCGCTCTGTTATTATCCTGTTCCATTTCGTTTAGGTCATTCATATCGTCATCTAGTGTCAGGTCTTCGACGCTCTCCTCCGGGTCTTCGAGATACTCAGATTTTGGTTCGATCAGATTATCATTTGGCTCAGGCTTTTCCAAGGGTAGCTGTGCAAAGAAACATTGGGCATTTTATAAATTAATTTCTTCGCTACTTCGGATAGTATCGGTAGAAAAATTGATCCACATGCTGAGAAAAAAGGAAGAATTATTGTATCGCACCGTTTCCGCACTATGAGATCAAATTGAAACGGAACCAAATAGTAGGATAAAGTACGACGTTCGTTAATTTACCAACGCGCGAAAGAAACAGAACGCTAGGATAACTGCCTCCATTATACGTTGGTAATCGATCGACGAGGTTACGCTGAGAAATCGATATTAAATTTCACAACATTTACCTGTAACATCTCGTCCGCTGGTTTCGTCAGCTGTGTCATTAAAGCTGACCTGCCAAGCGTGTCTGTGGGGTCTGCGTGCACTTTTTCGTCAGCAACGGGCGCGATTCCTAACGCAGGAACGCCCATTTGCTGGGGCATGTCGCTGGAATTCGAGGCTTCGTGATTTTCTATAGTATCTTCACCGACGCTTCTTCTTCTAAACCTCTTTCTTTTTCTTGAAGTTGGACTTTGCGAGCCCTCTCTGCAAAAGTAAACAAGAAACGATTCATTTAAAATACTATCAATGTTATGTAGCATAAAATTTGTCGTCTATTTTCAACATTCTTACCTTGAGGAGAGACCCTTAGGTAGTTGGGGACTGCTCGACTCTTCAAGCAGGTCCCCTACGGAACCTTGTGCCATAGGAGGAACCGCCTGCCTAGGAACTTTGTTCTTTTCTATTGTAAGACCGGAAGACGCATGTGGAATGTCTAACGACGGGGCTGTTGCTTGCGGGACGACCTTCTGTTGTCTCGTGTCCGTCTTACTGCTACCACCTGTTTTACTTTCTGAGAGACCCTTTATCTGTAGAGATTCCGCGGCCTTAAGAAGTGCTGCCAATTGGTCTTGGGAGATGTTTACTTCTCCCCTGTACATGTAGTCCATCATCGCTTTTAATTCTTTGAACTTAACATCTTTTAATATGAAAACAGGATGCTTGTCATAGTGTTCGCTGAGGAGGCCCTATAATGAAAACAAAATATTTCGAATATTAAATTATTTCCTTCTCAAAGTTCAAACTATTTTTTGTAAAAGTTATAATTCGTTATAAAAATGCTCAAAAATGTAAATGGCGATGTCGGTTTACGGATTTAATGATTACTGAATTCTTCGAGCATCAAATCCTAAATGCAACGCAAAAACTCAAAGTGTAACTAATGTGAGAACAAACAAAACAATAAGTATAACGAGGATATTAATAATTAGTGTGAATTAGATGCATTTTCCATTAGGCTAAGCTTAGTTTTGAATGTGGCAATTTATTAGCGAATAGAATTTAATTCCATCATCCAAGCTCAAATTGCTGAGGCACTGCCTCTTCAAACACCCCCACCCATGCCAGGGTAAAATCCCAGGGCAAGTGCCCTGGAAATCAGCCATCTTGCTTTCTCTGTATTGATCACGAGGAACCAGGAGGGGGTTTGGGCTTTCACTCCCCCTGCCTCTCAGGCATCTGCCCAGGCAGCGTTCAACAAGGGCAGCCATCTTGTTTCAATTTCAGGTTCCCCCTATTCACCAGTTTGAATTCCAGTATTTGCTACAGATCCTAACCATGCTTAGCCAATAGAAATAGGAAAACTTATAACCAAAGTTTTAGCTCGAAACTTCTCGTATTTTCTATACGTGTGAAAAACGTTTGCTTTCTAGCAAATAATACCAAGAACGTATCTATACTTTTTTTACGTAAATTTCATATCAACATAAAGTGACATCTTATACAAATTAAATATCTAATCATTTTTTATTTGAAATTAAACTCTATGCACCGTTTAACCGCGAGAGGAACATTACGTGTACAGTCGAATCAATAAAAAAAAAAAAAGCAATATATATTAGTAACAGACACATGAAGAATAAACTCACCTCAAAATAGGGACTGCACGCGGAAAGAACTACCTTATGGGCCTTTAAGTATTTCCCCTCCGCCGCGAGAGTGCAATCAACCAGCGTCCCGCTTTCGAGAAGCGTGTCGAAATTCTGTATGAGCGTACTTTGATGATTATTCCACCTAAGGCAGAACTGCTGGTCGTCTTCCATTTTTTCTTACAGTTTCCTCTTTTCTGTACAAGCAGAAAAAACACCGTGGCGATGAGCAGACGGAAAGAGCCGTTGTTGTACAATATCGACCGAGCCTAATGCTATCTAGCTTTTCTACGCCCGATTAACGTGAACATCGAGCCGGATGATTCGAAAATACACGGAAGAAGTGATAAGTTTTAACTATGTTCGTGATCGATACGCAGCTGCGGTAAAAGCTCCGCAAGGAAGCACCGAAGCTTCCAAAATGGCCGTACGATGCAAGCGCGTCGGTCGAATCGGTCTTCTGGCCTTTTCCTTTGTGCGTGTCCTCATAACGGTAATGGACGATTTGGTGGGGATGATGCAGGAGGACGCGCAAGCATCACGCATGCGCAGCTGCGCCCGAGCTGCGCGCTTGACTTGCGCACTGGCTCGAGGCCCCTGGAAGTCAGGGGCGTCTGCTGGATTCACCGGTACCCTAACGATAATACCGAACCACGGAAAAATCTAACGCGATAAATCGATTACGTGAGACCAACTACGAAGGTACATTTTTAATTCGATAGACAAATTCGACATTACCGAGTTACTACTTTGAAAAGCTTGAAAATTACAAGCATAACAGTTTGAATAATGTTTAAATTATGTAAGTACCGATTTCAAAATTCTTTTCGATCGATGAAAATTGTCTAGTGTAACTATACCTGAATGACAAACGTATATCATCATATATAAGTAGACGACATCAAAAAACGTGAACGACAGAAACGAAATTTATTACGATAATTAGGAAACTACATTTAAGTCCGTGATACAGGGCGAAATGTAACAGTTCACGTCACCCAAGTTTACATCATTGACGCGCAATAAAACGGAAAATCGATTACTCGCCTCACATGCGCAACGCGTAAGTTTCAGCCGCGGTTGGGGTGGGGTACAGGGACGAGTATACGCGTGTAGAGATTAATACGAAATAAAGCGAAGAGCATTCACTGCTTACACGCGATTGCATAATCTATTTATATTGTTATCTCGAATCGAATGTTACGTCAGATGGCGCCGGGCAACGTGTGTGAAACAAAACAAATTAGCGACAGATAATTTTTTCAATCACATCTACCGACCGGCGAAAAAGAACGATGCACTTTCCTCACACCGCCCCCGGAAACCACGAGAGGAGAGGAGACGTGGATCGCAATATGGCCGTCTGCGAGGTCGCGCCCGGACAAAATGGCGATAGAAGAAAAGCTCGCAAGGAAAAATATACAATCTAAAATTTTTCGGCTATATTGAAATTTCCCATTAAAAGTACCGCCTGGACAACACACGAAAATCGCAAACGTTTACTTAATCGGGAAATTTCATTAGAGTAATAGCACAGTCAAGCTGGTATTTCTCAAAAGTATATAGAGGATCCGCCCGCGCCATGTCACCCCACCTTAAGATTTTCCGGAATTTTCTCCCAAGCTCTGACGAAACACTCAAATATAACGAATAACTAACTACGTGTTGTAACACTCACCTAATAAGGAGTATAAAACAATCTAATATCACAGCAACGGATCGATGAAAAGTGAAAAACTGCGTAAGCGTCCAAGCTCGGCGTGCGCCTCGAGCGCTGCCCTTTTCAACAATGGCGTAGCACAACGCCTGCTAGGCTTGCCTGTACATCGACCGTCAGAGAGCGCAGGCTTCCCCGGAAGAGGGCACGAGAGAAGAAAAAACGAAGGAAACTATCGAGCATGCGCTCTATTCCCGTAAGCTATGATGTCTCGTCGTGATTGGAAATCGCAACTAGAGGACGCTGCAGATAAAACGGCTTCTCTATTTTGATTTGATAATATACGCCTGCATGAAGCTTGATGTGAAATTTAACGTTACATGAAAATAACTTCAACTATTTTCTTATGAATAAAAATGCTGTATCTTACAGTAAACAGTAATCGATGAAAATGGTAATTGACTACGTAGTGGGAAAATTTTTGCAAATAAAATACACTAGTCGGCTTAACCATATTTTATCGAACATAATTAACTTCTGTCGTAGTATCACGGTAACGAAACGTTTGGAAAGCTAATCGTTTATAAACAAAACTAGCCGATTTATAAAACTAGAGAAGAGGCGTCAATTTTATTATCACACATAAAACACATAGCGTCACAATTCTACCATCACGAAAGAAATAAACAGGTAAGAAGACATGTGTATGTAAACACACTTGTATGCGCATTCAATGAAAAGGAATAAATTAAACAAAAAAAAAAGTACAAAGTTACTTCAACGTCATTAACCGGCCCTGGACCTCAACCTGGCACGCGTACGTAATGGCCGACTCCGTAGACTCGGCCAAGGCAAAATGGCGAAAACTCCCGAAAACGCGCTTGGAAAACTTCTATGTACGAACAAGTTTGTAATGCATCTGAACCTCGCAACAAACACTTCCACGCAAAATTTCGAACATCGTTATCCTAAGTTCTCTCATGCTCGTGCGACACGCTTGTACGACAAAACCGCGTTATTGTTGGCATCGTGAGGCGACCTGATTTTCCCAAAACTTTTCGCAGTGATAGAAACACAATCCGAAGAAAAAATTAACTAGAACGCAAGTCAAAATACATATTCGTGCGTTACTCACCTCTATTGGCACAGTCTAAATATCACACGAGGAAACCTTGGAAAACTACACGTCCCGTCCTCAGCGTACACTAACCGAGCGTCGTGGATTCTTTTTACACAATGGCCGTGGTGCTACGCGTTAACGATCGACCCGCTCTGCGAGGGGATAGCCGGGTATGCACAGAAACAGTATGCCCCTTGTGGGGAGACGCGGCGCAGAAGAGGAAAATCAGTGTTCTGCGCATCCAGGCACGAATAGTGGGGCAAAAGAGAACGGCCGTCTAGCGCAGGGTCGTCGATAGATTTTTAGAACCTAGTGACTATTTTTACGCGGCATAATAGCGAACACCTCTTGATATCCTGAAAAATACAAAGTAATATTCGATGTCTTTCGTTACACAATCAGTCCGTAAAACGACAATTTACGTTGAATAGTTTCTGCCAATCAGAATAAATATATCGACCAGCGATGTATACACCGCGCGTAATTCAAACTTGTATCGATAAAAGATCCTTTGAAACGTTGACACTCGATAGGCGTTATTAGTTGTGACAATTTTCAATACATCGATCAAACCTTTACAACGAGAAAAGGTTAGCAAGCCGCGAAGAGATAAAATTGATACAATCCTGATTTTTGCCGGTGTAACGTCATGGCAAACCGTAAAGGTAGGGGTTCGCGAGAACGTAGTGGGGAGTAAGGCTGATTTCCGTTGAGGGGCGCGTTTATCGTATAGCGCAGCCGAAGCGACAGGCGGGAGAGGCGAAAGGCGGCGCAGGAGAAGTGGAAAGCCGGGAAGAGAGAGCCGACGAAGGGAAGAATCGGGGTCCACAACAAAATCGCTTAATCGCTTTGCGCCACCGTCCGCAACGGAACACAACGGAACACGGGCTGTCCGCCGCCATCACGGTGCCCCCTAGTGTGCATTTATGTCTTTCTCTTTCTCCTTCTCCTTCCCCTTGTCCGTCTCTCTCCGTGATTCGCTACGCCACTTCGTGCCGCGACGTTTTCACGGGCAAACCGAGAGAGTGACAGCTGCCAGTCGTCAGCGCGGTACGTGCTTTACGCGGCGACTGACAATCATTCGTGTGTCATCGCGTGTATACGCGTTTTGTGAGAATTCCTCGTAAAATATCGTCTCGTGCGTGGTCGTGTGCATACATCGAGTGTCATAACTACAGCAAAAGTGAGTGTCTCCCGCGAACCTTGGCACAGAGTTGCCAAGAATCGGCTCAACTTTTTCTCCAGTGGTGATTTTGTTCGTGCGTCCGGTTGTCATGGTAAGGTAAGTGCAACGATAGAGTTTCATCGTTCAGTTTATTTATAAACATCGTCAAACAACACTTTCGTTTGATAGTAAATAGACACGTAAACGTTTCTATAGTTTCCGTGACTCATTTCGACGTAATAGGGATCTAAAAGAGTATTCAAGCGTAAGTAATACGGATTCTCGAGTCAATAAAATGCTTTCCGGATTCGGTAGCTGATATTTCCGCGTCGCATTTACGCGTGCCCGCGCGTATTGTTTTGACTTTCGACTACTCCCGGTGTATCTCGCCCAGCTGGTCAGTTGGCGTGTGCGTACTCGTATAGGTGTGCGTGACAATGATCTACGACGTTTAACGACCTGTCGTACGAAGCGACGAATTAAACGACGTCCCTCCACGCGCACCTCGTGGCTTCTCCATGAGGATTTGGAACACTTGCCGCGTGCACGTTCGAAACGCTGTCGCCGATTACGGTAGGTCACGTGCACGATAACTGTCCAATAATCAACGATTACGTATGCGCAGGAAACACTTATTTAATGTTTGCGCGCGTTACATAGCTAAACACAAGGAAAACATAACTACTATATCATTTTCGCGTGTAGTTGCTCGTAGATTGAATCCTAGAATATTTCGAATAGTTGATTATCGTTTAGTTGTCAACGTTCACGCGTATTCGAGTAGGTTATGTTTAGAATAATAGAAAGTGATTTCCGTAAAGCTTTTGCAGACACTGTATTTTATAGTGATACATAAGCGAACGTATAATGTTTAAGGTAAAGACGTGCTAGCGCGATCAATTGTTCGAAGGATTTTCTCTTTAACGTTACCAATGGATGATTGCGAAAGGAAGGAACGGGAAAGGAGAGAGTAAACGGAGGCGAGCTATCTAGCTAAGATAATGAGAATCGTCGAAACCGTACGACGATGTTTTATATTTACGACACAAAACCGTGGGTACAAATGCGCATTGTTTATCGACTTATTGGTAAACGGTTTACAAAAATCAATCGATGACAATCGTACGTAACTGGTACGAGTATTTCGTGCACCTGAGATTTTCTCTGCGATCGTACAGCAACCAACGGTTTACCTATACATTGTGCTCGCGGTGCCGATGATAAAGAGAAATGCTGCCTAGAAAGCAGGTCTTGACTGAATCTAGGCCACCCTGATGGCGCGTGCACATTCTCCACAATTTTACTGTTCCTTCTCTCGGCCTTGCCGCGTTCGTAACCATCGAGAGAACTGCACCTTTTCTCTTCTTTTCTAGTTCTCCCTCTCTTTACCACCTCTCTATCCCTTCCATTGCATCTCCGTTCTTCTCTCTCCCTTCCTATTTTTTCTTAGAACGATTCAAGGATCGTGTTCCGGAGGACGACCGGCTACAACAGAGATAAAAACGAACGTTTGAATCACTCTCGGTTATCGATAATACTAGCAAGGCATATTTAAAAAGTCGCGGATATTTTCGACGATTTATCGTTGACAAGATTAATTACCGTCAACCGCCAGCAAATATTCGAACATATATTCGCCACATGGCGATGCATCTAAAAAGTATCGGTAGGATACATGGGAAGAGGTGTAGAAATCACGGGACCATTTTTATTCACGCATCAAAAGTATCGATTTCACATTATCTATGGCAACACGTTCTTGCAGATGTGAGAGATTAATCGAAAACGAGAACGATATACCATTTGTTTATGTATTGAACGTTTTTATTGCGTCATTTCGACGAATACGTTCAGTTTCGTGTCGATACACGATCATTGTAATAGTATCTTGTAGCGTCGTTAAAAGAAAACCACGAAGAGATCGACGATTTTCTCGAGAGGCCGCGAGCGGAATCGCGTGTATATGACTGACAGTGGGGCGATCGAGAGCGACCTAGAAAGGTTTCAAAAGACATTTTCCCGTTCACCCACGTATAAAGCTGCCCTCTCGCCGCAAAAGCATAGAGCCACATAACGCGAAACCTCGTATAGTAATTGAGGTGGCAGAAGGGAGGAAGGAGAGAGAGGGAGGGAGGAAGCGAAAAAGTGCTCGTGCAAGTGTTAAGAACAGAGATAGGAGGAATGACAGGTAATGGACGCAAAGGAAGACAGGAAAGAAAGAGAACGCGGGTAAATGCATATTTCTCTAGATAGGCTGTACGTATCGCGCGAGTATAGATGCATACTGGTTTGCATGTGTGCATGACCGTACCGCGCGCGCATAGGAACAACGGAAAGTATGGAGCATAATACGGAGAAAACGCTGGTAAAAGGAAAGAGGCCTCTCTGCCTGCCTTTCCAATCGAATCGAACGCCCCTCTCGCCTTTGTCATTTTCTCTTTGTCCTCGTTTTCAGCTCTACCGTTCTCTCGGACAGTTCTCCACCATTTTTCTCTATTTTCTATCCGTCTTCTTCGACGCTGCACGGACTGACTCAGCAACGGAAGAAGTATGGAAGGAGGACGAAGGCAAGAAATTTCTCTTGCTTCGCTCGAACTCCTCTTCTTTTCCTCCCTTCACCCTTTGACTTCCCTCGTAGCATCCTGTCTACCACCCTAACCTCGCTTCTTTCTTGCGTTTCGATCTGCCTCTACCCACCTTTTCCTTCTCCTTCCTGCCTCCTTACCTCGCTACCACCTTCACCTCCATATCCACCACCACCACCACCACCACCACCACCGCAGCTCTTCCTTCTTCTCCGTCACCTCCTCCGCTCGGTCGTTGGTTCGTTCGTTCGTTCGTTCGTCGTCGTTGGCGTCGTCTCCTGCTTCGCCTTCGTCTCCTCTTACTCCCCCGAACCGCTCTTTTCCGCTGCCAACCCTCTTGCCTTTCTCTCCCTACTCTCTTCCTCGTTCCTCGTCCCGCTCCGCACATCCTGTTTCTTTAATACGACCGAGACGTGAGAGGAAAAAGGAAAGACGGACAAAGACAGATGGCGCAGGGGATACAGAAGAACGAGATTCGAGAGAGGGAACTTTGTTGCTCGATTTTTCTCGCGTTTTTCTTTCTTCGAGTTACTTACGTAAAAAGCTTCTATATTTAAATCAATATTAATTCGCGCGGTTTATGTACTATTTTTACGTCTATCGATCGAGATACTCGTTGTTTGAAACAACGTCGAAGAGAACGGCGGTTGTTAGGATTTTTTACAAACACCTGAACGCTTCGAGAGCGGTAAAAGGAGAAAGGTATTCGAACGACGATCGACGAAAAAGAGTTACTCCAACTTGGAGTTCACGCGAGCGTTGAATCCCTGTGATTAGACGAATCCATATAATCTCGTAATCGAAATGACGAGTATAGTTATCGAAATATTCATTTTCATCGAACGTGTTCTCGCATGCAGAAAACGATCGTTCGTTTAGTTCCTTCTCGTTGCTATCTCAAAAAAAAAAAGCAGTTTCGCCTCATCTTCTTTCTCTCGCCAACCTTTTCCCTGCTGTTCCTTCTTTTTCTCCCCTTAGATTCTCGCTCGCGTTCCCCTTATCTCCGGAGTTTCTCATTGTCTGAAAGGGCCATCTGTCCCCCGGCTTTTTCATCCTCCGCTTTCATCCCTCCGTTGTACACGAGCACACAAAGAGACTCTCTTATCCGTCGTTCGCCACCCTCTCTTCACCCTTTCTCCAGCTCTCCCTTCTTCGCCGTAGTTTCCGTTCGGTCGACTACTCCTGCGCATCCGCGTTGCTCCTTTCTCCTTCCTTGGAAACTTCGCCAGGCTCCTTCGGCGACCAGCGGGATCCACTATCGATGTAACTATCGAGAAAATACTTTGAAATAATACCACGAATTACAAATTTCGGACGATAACGTCTCGTTATCGTACAGTTAGTTTGCCACGCGTAAGGAATCATACTTTTTCGTAGTACAAACGACGCGACGAGAGGAAAAAGCTTTTCTTTGACGATACAAACGATAGTTGTTCGTTGATGGTGTATCCGAATGAGAAATAAAAAAAGTTTGCGCACCCTTGTAGCTACATACAGAGAAAAAAGATCCCTCTAGGCAAGCCACGTGCGACCTTGGGCAAGTCCACGTCACCCTCTTACGTTGCACCCTCCGAAGGGACGGAACCCTGATCACGTGGATCTCGGGGGTGGTTTTCAACCCTCGTTTATCCTTCCTCTATAAGAATAGAATAGAGAGGAGCACAGGACGTCGGACGATGGACGATGAAACGCGCGGCGAGTTGCTCTCGGATGTTATATATTCTACGCAGCGCACAAATTTCACTCCGGTAACTGTGCGTACGCGCATTTTCATGTTTTTCGTTTAAAACGAGCCTAGACGTTGCTCTCCACTTCATTATTGGAGAAAAAACTGACAATGTTAGAAGATATCTATTTCCAACAAACTTGACGTTGATCTATCGTGTACTAAAACTTCTGTAACTAAACTCGTATTTATGCGGGTCGATCAACGAGAAGAGCTTCGGAATTAGCCACGTCAGTCGTCAACTTACCGCGAGCACACTTCCTGTTTTCCCCTCCGATGGCCTTCGTATATATCCAGGGATTCTTTTAGCGTGAACCTTTCTACGATGGATTTCGAGAGAACGTCGATAATAGGACTATCGAAAGCAGTATCTACTTCGATATAGACCCGTGTCTTTCCTTTCCCCTTTCTTGCGTCTCCACGTGTCGGTTCCTCCGCTCTCCTCCAGTTCCAGTGAAATTGGCGTTTCCGGGTCCGTCTCCTCCCCCCCCGTATCGACGGCTACGTTTCTTTCTCCACTCCTTTCCTGCCCTTCGAAACCAGCTGCGTATACAGCGTATACGGAGTCGTAGTTGGAGTCGGAGGAAAATGGCGGGAGGTAAAAGGTGGTCGGAAGAACGGAGCCGAGACTCCGACTATATACGACTACTCTTCCAAGTGGTAGGGCGAAGGGGAACAGGTGAGAGGCCGAGAGAGCCCGGTTCTCTCGGAAAGGTGAACGGAGAGAAACGAAGAAACGAAGGGCATTTGGAATGCGGTACTGTTATGCCTTACGGTACAGACAGGACGGAAATTAGGACTGCTAC